ATCTATCTATCTATCTATCTATCTATCTATCTATCTATCTATCTATCTATCTCTCTCTATCTAACTCAGTGATTCTCAACCTTTCTAATGCCGTGACCCCATAATACAGTTCCCCATGTTGTGGTGACCCCCAAGTGGGTGTGGCCACCAATAAGAGGGATTAAGACAGCTAGGGAAAAGGGAAAAAAATGGCAGACAGCCTTGTTTGGCGACCCCCGTGAAATGGTCATTCGACCCCAAATAGGGTCCCAACCCACAGGTGGAGAACCACTGATCTAACTCTATCTATGTCTCTGTCTGTCTGTATCTATCTATCTGTCTCTGTCTATGTCTGTCTGTCTGTCTGTCTGTCTATCTATCTCTATATCTAACTCTCTCATATGTCTGTCTGTCTGTCTGTCTGTCTATCTATCTATCTATCTATCTATCTATCTATCTATCTATCTATCTATCTATCTATCTATCTATCTATCCTATCATTTATCTATCATCTATCTCTATATCGATCTATCTATCTGTATGTTTGTCTGTCTATCTATCTATCTCTATCTCTATATGTGTCTATCTATGTATGTCTAATCTATCTATCTATCTATCTATCTATCTATCTATCTATCTATCTATCTATCTCTCTCTCTCTATCCATCCTATCATTTATCTATCATCTATCTATCATCTACCTCTATATCGATCTATCTGTATGTCTGTCTATCTATCTATCTATCTATCTATCTATCTATCTATCTATCTATCTATCTCTATCTCTATATGTGTCGATCTATGTATCTCTAATTATCTATCTATCTATCTATGGATATCTATCTATCTATCTATCTATCTATCTATCTATCTATCTATCTATCCATCCATCCCTATCTCTCTCTCTCCATCCATCCATCCATCCATCCATTCTTCCCTATCTCTCTCCCTCCCTCCCTCCATCCATCCTTCCATCCATCCCTCCATCCATCCATCCATCCCTCCATCCATCCATCCATCCATCTATCTATCTATCTATCTATGTAGGTCTTTGGTCATTCGGGTTTTATATCTATCTATCAGAACACACCTCCATCCAATCAGAACACAGCCAAGCTCCCACCCAATCAGTTCATACCCCCACTGGCAGTTAAAAAGAAGAAACAGCAAGGATTACACATTGCTCCTAGAAGCACGAAGCCGAAAACACCAGCCCGGAAGATGATGAATGGCACTTTTTCGAAACATCGCCAAGACACTTCCAATTTTACGCGGGAGAAAACCCGAATCCTACATACAAACACCTGCGAAAACCTCAGAAAACTATCTATCTATCTATCTATCTATCTATCTATCTATCTATCTTTGTTTCAAGATCACGTGAAGTCATCAGTTGAAGATAGGACAAGAAACTATGGATGGAAACTCGTCAAGGAGAGAAGCCACCTGGAATTAAAGAGAAACTTCCTAACGGTGAGGACAATTAACCAATGGAACTACTTGCCAGCAGAAGTTGTGGGTACTCCAACACTCGAGACTTGAGACCCGCTTGTCTGAAATGGCATAGGCCTTGAGCAGGGGGTTGGACTAGAAGACCTCCAAGGTCCCTTCCAACTGTGTCATTCTATGATTCTGTAAGGCCTCCTCGAGTAGGGGGTTGGACTAGATGACCTCTAGGGTCCCTTCCAACTCCATCATTCTATGATTTTGTAAGGATCTCCTGCTTGAGCAGGGGGTTGGACTAGAAGACCTCCAAGGTCCCATCCAACCCTATTATTCTATGATTCTGGTAAGGAGATCTTGCTCGAGCAGGGGGCTGGACTAGATGACCACCGAGGCCCCTTCGAACTCTATTATTCTATGTTCTATGTTCTAGTCCAATCCACTGCTCAAGCAGGAGACAAATACACCACTCCAAATAGCTGTCCAGTCTCTTCTTAAAAACCTCCCGTGATGGAGCGCTCACAACTTCTGGTGGCAAGGAGTTCCACTGGTTAATTGTCCTCACTGTCAGGAAGTTTCTCCTTAGTTCCAGCTTGCTTCTCTCCTTGAGGAGTTTTCCATCCGTGGCTTTCTTCTCCTGCCTTCCGGGAATGTCAGCTCCAGAGCCACCCTGGCTGTCCTCGGTCACGTAGGACGCCAAAAATGGAGGATCCGGTGCCAGATGGTTGAAGGAGGAAGTAAGGTCTCCTACTCTGAGGTTACACCTTGGCAACCATCCCTAACCCTGGTGAATGGACCAAATGTAATTTGTAATCTACACCAACCCCTTTCCATGGTTCTGCCAGGTGCAGGAACTGTTTCCTGGTCTTCAGTTTCCCACCTGAACAAAACGGTTCCGGATTGGTCCTCCTTTATGTATCATTATCTGTCTGTCTATCTATCTATCTATCTATCTATCTATCTATCTATCTATCTATCTATCTATCTATTATCTCTCTATGTATCTCTTTCCTTCCTCCCTCCCTCCCTCCCTCCCTCCCTCCCTCTCTCTCTCTCTCTCAGTCACAACTCTTATCATTTATCTATCTGTCTGTCTCTATCACAACTGTCTGTCTGTCCGTCCACCCATCCATCCATCCATCCATCCATCCATCCATCCATCCATCCATCCATCCATCCATCCATCTATCTATCTATCTATCTATCTATCTATCTATCTATCTATCTACCATCTCTCTCTTTGTCTCTGTCTATCTCTCTATCTACCCACCATCTCTCTCTGTATCTGTCTGTCTGTCTATCTATCTATCTATCTATCTATCTATCTATCTATCTATCTATCTTTCTAGCTATCTCTCAGTCACAACTCTTATCATTTATCTATCTGTCTGTCTCACAGCTATCTGTCTGTCTATCCCCCCCTCTCTCTAACCACGATATGTATGTATATATATGTATGTATCTATGTATGTATTATCTCTCTTTCTCTCTCTATCTCTATGTATCTGTCTCTATCAATCTAATCTGTCAATTTATGTATTATCTATCTATCTATCATCTATCTCCTTTCTCCCTTCTCTCTCTCTCTCTCTATGCCAGTGGTTCTCAACCTTTCTAATGCCGTGACCCCATAATACAGTTCCCCATGTTGTGGTGACCCCCAAATGGGTGTGGCCACCAATAAGAGGGAGTAGGACAGCTAGGGAAAAGGGAAAAAAATGGCGGACAGCGTGGTTTGGCGACCCCCGTGAAATGGTCGTTCGACCCCCAAATAGGGTCCGGACCCACAGGTTGAGAACCACTGCTATATGTAGCTATCTAGCTATCTCTCAGTCACAACTCTTATCATTTATCTATCTGTCTGTCTCTATCACAACTGTCTGTCTGTCCGTCCATCCATCCATCCATCCATCCATCCATCCATCCATCCATCCATCCATCCATCCATCTATCTATCTATCTATCTATCTATCTATCTATCTATCTATCTATCTATCTACCATTTCTCTCTGTGTCTCTGTCTATCTATCTACCCACCATCTCTCTCTGTATCTGTCTGTCTGCCTATCTATCTATCTATCTATCTATCTATCTATCTATCTACCCACATCTCTCTGTCTCTGTCTGTCTCTCTCTCTCTCTCTCCCCCCACCATCTCTCTCTCTGTGACTCTGTGTCTGTCTGTCTGTCTGTCTGTCTATCTATCTATCTATCTATCTATCTATCTATCTATCTATCTATCTATCTATCTATCTATCTCTATCTACCCACTCTCTCTGTGTGTGTCTCTGTATCTATCTATCTATATCTATTTCTATCTATGTATCTATGTATCTATGTATCTATGTATGTATCTATCTATCTATCTATCTATCTATCTATCTATCTATCTATCTATCTATCTACCCACATCTCTCTGTCTCTGTCTGTCTCTCTCTTTCTGTCTCTCTCTCTCTCCCCCCACCATCTCTCTCTCTGTGTCTCTGTGTCTGTCTGTCTGTCTGTCTGTCTATCTATCTATCTATCTATCTATCTATCTATCTATCTATCTATCTATCTATCTCTATCTACCCACTCTCTCTGTGTGTGTCTCTGTATCTATCTATCTATATCTATCTATCCATCCATCCATCCATCCATCCATCCATCCATCCATCCATCCATCCATCTATCTATCTATCTATCTATCTATCTATCTATCTATCTATCTATCTATCTATCTATATCTACCCACCCCCCTCTCTCTGTTTATCTATCTATCTATCTATCTATCTATCTATCTATCTATCTATCTATCTATCTATCTATCTATATCTATTTCTATCTATCTATCAACTACTCACCCCCCCTCTCTGTTTATCTATCTATCTATCTATCTATCTATCTATCTATCTATCTATCTATCTATCTATCTATCTATCTATCTATCTATATATATCTACCCTCTCTCTCTGTGTGTGTGTGTCTCTGTATCTATCTATCTATCTGTCTGTCTGTCTGTCTGTCTGTCTGTCTATCTATCTATCTATATCTATTTCTATCTATCTATCTATCTATCTATCTATCTATCTATCTATCTATCTATCTATCTATCTATCTATCTATCTATCTATCATCTACCCACCCACCCCTGTCTATCTATCTATCTATCTATCTATCTATCTATCTATCTATCTATCTATCTATCTATCTATCTATCTATCTATCTATCTACCCACCCACCCCTGTCTGTCTGTCTATCTATCTATCTATCTATCTATCTATCTATCTATCTATCTATCTATCTATCTATCTATCTATCTATCTATCATCTCTCTCTCTCTTTTTCTAACCACCACAGCTGTCCTCGGTCACGTGCCAAGGATGGATGATCCTGTGCCAGGTTGTTGAAGGCGGAAGTTAGCTCCTTGGCAACCATCCCTAACCCTTCTGAATGGTCCAAAGGAGGTCCCTCGTAATCCACACCACCTTTCCTGGCTCTGCCAGGTGCAGGACTGGTTTCCTCCTCCTTCGGTTTCCCACCTGAACAAAACGGCTCCCGATTGGTTCCTCCTTTCTCCGGGTCTCCAGGAAGGACCTCGGAGAATTCAGCGGGGAAAACCCCTGGCCGTCCGCCCAGCGCCTGGACAACCCACGGAAGCAGGACATAAAAGGAAGCGTCGTGGTCTTGAGGACCACACCGTCTTTGGATCTCCGTAACCGAAGAAGCGAGGATGGAAGCGTTCTTCTGGAAGACCTTGATGCTGGTCGGGGTTCTGTCGGTCTCGGGGCGTCCCCACCTGCCCCACGAGCCGCTGACCTACGATGAGGCCCTGCGTCTTGGGGTGGAGATCTTCAACAAGAAAGCTGGGGAAGGGTCCCTCTACCGTCTCCTGGAAAGTGTTCCTCAGCCCGAATGGGTAAGGAGGATGGATCGGGAATGGCGTGGTGGGGCAGGAGAGGGAGACGAAGGGGAGGATGAGGATGAAGCTGAGGAGGAACTTGGATGGTGAGGTTGAAGGGGAGGGTGAAGAGGGTGATGATGAAGACCAAGTTGAGGAAGAGGAGGAGAACGATGGTGAGGATGGTGAGGATGAAGTTGAGCAGGATGAAGGTGAGGATGAAGTTGAGGGGGATAGCGATGAAGGTGATGGCGAAGAAGGTGATGATGAAGTTGAGGAGGAGGGTGATGATGAAGGTGATGGTGAGGGTGATGATGATGGTGATGAAGAAGGTGATGAAGTTGAGGAGGAGGATGCTGATGATGACGGTGACGATGAGGATGGTGGGGATGGTGAGGATGAAGAGGAGGATGAAGGTGATGGTGAAGAGGGTGATGATGAAGATCAAGAGGAGGAGGAGGAGAACAACGGTGATGATGAAGGTGACGGTGAGGATGGTGATGGTGAGGATGAAGAGGAGGATGGTGACGATGAAGGTGATGGTGAAGATGGTGAGGATGAAGAGGAAGAGGAGGAGGATGAAGGTGAGAGGATGGTGACAATGAAGTGAGGAGGATGAAGGTGAGGATGAAGTTGAGGAGGAGAAGGAGGAGGAGGGTGATGATGGTGATGGTGAGGATGATGATCATGGTGATGAAGAAGGTGAGGATGAAGTTGAGAAGGAGGAGGAGGAGGGTGATGATGAAGGTGATGGTGAGGATGATGATGAAGGTGATGAAGTTGAGGAGGATGCTGATGATGAAGGTGACGATGAGGATGGTGGGGATGGTGAGGATGAAGAGGAGGAGGGTGAGGATGAAGGTGAGGGTGAAGAGGGTGACGATGAAGATCAGGTTGAGGAGAACGACGGAGATGATGAAGGTGACGGTGAGGATGGTGAGGATGAAGAGGAGGAGGAGGAGGAGGATGAAGGTGAGAGGATGGTGACGATGAAGTTGAGGAGGATGAAGGTGAGGATGAAGTTGAGGAGGAGGAGGAGGGTGATGATGAAGGTGATGGTGAGGATGGTGATGGTGATGAAGAAGGTGAGGATGAAGTTGAGGAGGAGAACAATGGTGATGATGAAGGTGAGTGAGGATGGTGAGGATGACGTTGAGGAGGAGAACGATGGTGATGATGAAGGAGATGGGGAGGATGGGGAGGATGGTGATGAGGAAGTTGAGGAAGAGGAGGAGGATGGTGATGATGAAGGTGATTGTGAAGATGGTGAGGATGGAGGAGGAGGGAAAGGATGATGATGAAGAAGGGTTAGGGTTAGGGGATGATGGAACCCAAACCCAATGGGGATGATGGAACCCAAACCCAATGGAGATGATGGGGACCAGAACCCAATGGGGATGATAGAAACTCAACCTACTGGGGATGATGGGAACCCCAACTCAATGGGGATGATAGGACCCCCAACTCAGTGGGGATGATGGGACCCCCCAACCAGTGGAACAGCACCCTCAGAAATCGTGGGCGCTCCATCACTGGAGATTTTAAAGAAGAGACTAGACATTCACCTTGTCTGAGACGGTGTAGCTTCTCCTGCTTGAGCAGGGGGCTGGACTAGAAGACCTCAAGGTCCCTTCCAGCTCTAGTCTCTTCTACGAGAGGTGGTTTTGATGGGTGGGACCTTCCTGGGGTGATCTCCAAACCTAGGGTTCAACCGTTGGCCAGGTGGAGGAGACCCCCATCTCAGCTGAGGTCCTACCTCAAGAGGCAACTGGATTTTCTCGTTTTTCCTGGAGGTTGACCTGTGTCTTCGGGCTGCAAAGGGATGTGTGTGTGTGTGTGTGTGTGTGTGGAGCCTTCTTGGACCTGTTGAAAGGACCGTGTTGTAGACTGGAGACAGACAGTGTCGTATCCCTCCAGAGGCTTAATTTTGACGGTCTCTTGGACCCCTCTTTCAAACCAGCGGTCCTCTCCGTCCAAAAGGTGGACTTTTGTGTTTCACGGGCAGATGGCTCGCCAAATTTTGTTCTCCGATGGTACGCCTTGCGTCGATGACGCTGTTGTTTTGTTCCCCCGATATACACCTCCCTGCCTTGTGTTGCATCTACCAAAATGTTGCTCAATTGGTGTCTGGGTGTTTTATCCTTGGGCTGGGGTGGACAAGCTTCTGCCGGTGTGTTTTTGTGGGTTCGAAGGGCGCACGGGGGTTGTGTCGGCTGAAGGTCCCTCCGGAGCTTTTCCCGATATTCCCGAACGACTACGTCGCTTCGTTTGGCATCGAGTGGCAAACTAGCCGAAAGAGGGAGACTCACCCACCCTTCTTCTCCTAGCGTGGAGGTCCCGTACGGCCCTTCATCCATAGTCCAGCAGGATGATGGGTCTGGAATCTGGAACTTCTGGGACTTGTGTGGCGTCTTCTCCACGGCTCCTTTACAGTGGCGACGGAAAGAGTCGTTCAGACGCGATCCCGACATGAAATGGGAGAAGGTGCAGAGGGGCCTTCAAACCGATCCATCCTCCTTCGTTCTGTCTCGTTTCAGGATCCCGTCTCGGAAGGCAATCAAGCCCTGAATTTCACCGTCAAAGAGACGGTGTGTCCGGCCGAAGAAGACTTTTCCATGGATCGATGTGACTTCAAAGAAGATGGGGTGAGTGGATCGCCACCGCTGGGTTGGATGATGGATTGTAGATGGAAAGACATCGGTCGGATCTTCTTGACCGGCGTGAAACTGGATTTCTATCCAGTTTTCAACGTCCGTCTTCCACGTCGACTTTGTTCTTGAGGGAACGTCGTCTTCTCGGTTCTCTGAAGTCAACTCTGAGGCTCAGCTCCATGGATGGAGAAGGAACCCAACCCGTGAATCCTTCAGCTGTTTGTTCCCTGTTCCTCCAAGGTGTCTATGGAGATTCTCAGTCGTCCAGGTCACAGCTGTCCTCAAGATGCTTCTTCAGGAGGCAACTGGACCTTCTTCTTTCTCCTCTGAAGACCTTTCACCTCTCATCCAACGAGCTTCTTCGGAGCTTGGAGGAGAAGTGACAGGTCTTCGGAGGAGAGAGAAGAAGGTCCAGTTGCCTCCTGAAAAAGCATTATGGAGAAATTGAGGATCAACTAACTTGGATTGTCCAACGTTGCGATGGAAGGACACGGTGGAGGCAACATCAGGGGCTGATGCAAGATGTCTTCTCTGGAAAAAAAACAAGGTGGCTTTCGTCTCACCATGTTTTTCTACCCTCCGTAGATGGTCAGACAGTGTACAGGCTACTACTTCCTTGAGGAGAGACCCCCGGTGGCCGTTCTTACCTGTCACACCGTGGGAGGAACAGTGAAGGAGGAGGAGGAGGAGAAGGAGAAGAAGAAGGTAAGAAGATGGCCTGGTGGGCTCCTAGGATGGTCTTGAAAACTAGAAGGAGGGTGGAACCATGTGCCAAGTGGTGGAGACCCTGTCTCAGTTGAGGGTCAGAAGGAAGACCTCCCAAAGGGTCTCCGGCTCGGGCAGGGGGTTGGACTAGATGACCTCTGAGGTAACATCCAACTCTATTCTTCCATGATTCTGAAAGGGTCTCCTGCTCGAGCAGGGGGTTGGACTAGATGACCTCTAAAGTCCCATCCAACTCTATTCTTCCACGATTTTGTAAGGGTTTCCTGATCAAGCAGGGGGTTGGACTGGATGATCACTGAGGTCCCATCCAACTCTATTCTTCCATGATTCTGGAAGGGTCTCCTGCTTGAGCAGGGGGTTGGACTAGATGACCTCTGAGGTCCCATCCAACTCTATTCTTCCATGATTCTGGAAGGGTCTCCTGCTTGAGCAGGGGGTTGGACTAGATGACCTCTAAAGTCCCATCCAACTCTATTCTTCCATGATTTTGTAAGGGTTTCCTGATCGAGCAGGGGGTTGGACTGGATGATCTCTGAGGTCCCATCCAACTCTATTCTTCCATGATTCTGGAAGGGTCTCCTGCTCACACAGGAGGTTGTACTAGATGACCTCTGAGGTCCCATCCAACTCTATTCTTCCATGATTCTGGAAGGGTCTCCTGCTTGAGCAGGGGATTGGACTAGATGACCTCTAAGGTCCCATCCAACTCTGTTATTCCATGATTCTGGAAGGGTCTCCTGCTCGAGCAGGGGGTTGGACTAGATGACCTCTAAGGTCCCATCCAACTCTGTTTTTCCATGATTTTGTAAGGGTGTCCGGCTCGAAGCAGGGGGCTGGGCTAGATGACCTCCGAGGCCCCTTTCCAAACTCTGTTAATCTACGTTCTATGTGTTCTTCCTCTCTAGGACCAACCCAAACGCGTCAAGAGATTCGTGGGTTCTTTTCAGCTTGTCGTCGGGGTCTCTTTCCGCTTCTAAGCGACGGATTCGAAAGGAGCCGAGTTCAGATGTTCCATCGAGAAAAACAATAATCAAATAAATAAAAAATCCAGATTTCCCCCCCCCCCCAGCTTGGCTTAGATCTCCGTTTACCGCAGAGGCTTCCTTAAAACAAAGGCGCGACTTCCAATCAGTAACACAGCGTTTTAAAAAAATGCGATGGGGCTAGTCCTCAAGTTACGACGGTCCGTTTAGTGACCGTTCCAGGTTACAACGGCCCTGGAGAAACGAGACGTAGGGCTTGTTTTTCACACAACCACTGTCGCAGCGTCCCCAGCATCCAAATTCCAGGCACTTGTCCACCGACTCCTATTTACGACGGAGTCCACATGATCCCTTTTTGCGACCATCGATGGGGAGGGAGGAGCCAGGGAAGGTTGTCAAACGGGGCAAAACTGCCTCAGCCACGCCAGTGTGGAGCTCCCTTGTGGTCGTAACCCCGAGGACTCCGTGCAAAGGCTGAAAGGAGACGGAGGAAGGCTCCCTTTTGCAAAATCTGAATTTAAAAAAAACCCCATTTTTCTATCCTGTCTCCATTTTGTCAGGCGGCGATTTTAGAAGGCTGTATATATTTTCCGAATAATCGATAAATAATAAAATTTCTCCTGGGCAAGAATCTTGTTTTTTTCTTCTTCTTCTTCTTTTTTTCTTCAACAAGTTATGTAATATTAGTAATAATAATAATAATAATAATTATCCAGAGTTTTTTGTCTTTCTTATCGACAATTGTTAAGTCCGGGGTGTTATCAAACAGACAAGCACCTGCAACATAACACCCCGGACTTAACAATTGTCGATAAGAAAGACAAAAAAGTCTGGATAGTGGACGTGGCAGTGCCTGGAGACAGCAGAATAGAAGAGAAAGAACTGGAGAAGATAACAGAATACAAAGACCTACAAATAGAAATAGAAAGACTGTGGCAAAAGCAAGCAAAGGTAGTACCAATAGTCATAGGCTCCTTGGGTGCAATCCCAAAACAACTGGAGCACCACTTGAACATCATTATCGGCATTGACAAATTCGCTATTAGTCAATTGCAAAAGGCGGCCTTACTAGGAACTGCTTCCATCCTGCGACGATATCTGTAATACCATCAAACATCCACATCTGCCTATCCCAGGTCTTGGGTAAGGACTCGATAGGTAGACAAAATGCCAAATCTGGCTGACTGTGCGATGATCCATAATAGTAGTAGTAGTAGTAGTAGTAGTAGTAGTAGTAGTAGTAGTAGTAATAATAATAATAATAATAATAATAATAATAATAATAATAATAAAGTTGGAAGGGACCTTGGAGGTCATCTAGTCCAACCCCCAGCTCAGGCAGGCAACCCTGTACCATTTTGGACAAATGGCTGTCCAGTCTCTTCTCTCCCTTTATCCCCAATTCTCTGTCCTTCGCTAGATTTTCGTAACCGATCAACTGCAGGGTGCGCGGTCACGGGTTCGATCTGCGGACGCTGAGCCCACCGACTCGTAGTTATGACGGTGTGGCAGTGTTCTGGGCACACGGGGCAAAGTCAAGGGTTGAAGCCGGATTCGGTTAACAACCGGGTTGCTAATTGAGCAACTCCGGGGCAAGGAAGGTCGTCCAAATCAGTGGAACTACTTGCCACCAGAAGTTGTGACTGCTCCAACCCTGGAAATTGTTAAAAAGAGACTGGACAAGCTGTTGTCTGAAATGGTATTATAGGGCTTCCCGCTGGACTAGATGACCTCCAAGGTCCCTTCCAAGTCTATTTAGACTAGAATTCCGTAAGGGTCTCTTGCTGGAGAGTGGGGTTGGTCTAGAAGACCTCTAAGGTCCCTTCCAATTCTATTATTCTATGACTCTGGTAAGGGTTTCCTGCTTGAGCAGGGGCTTGGACTAGATGACCTTCAAGGTCCCTTCCAACTCTGTCCTGCTTTGATTTCGTAAGGGTCTCCTGCTTGAGAGAGGGGTTGGACTAGATGACCTCAAAGGTCCCTTCCAATTCTATTATTATATGATTCTGGTAAGGGTTTCCTGCTTGAGCAGGGGGTTGGACTAGATGACCTTCAAGGTCCCTTCCAACTCTGTCCTGCTTTGATTTCGTAAGGGTCTCCTGCTTGAGAGAGGGGTTGGACTAGATGACCTCAAAGGTCCCTTCCAATTCTATTATTATATGATTCTGGTAAGGGTTTCCTGCTTGAGCAGGGGGTTGGACTAGATGACTTTCAAGGTCCCTTCCAACTCTGTCCTGCTTTGATTTCGTAAGGGTCTCCTGCTTGAGAGAGGGGTTGGACTAGATGACCTCAAAGGTCCCTTCCAATTCTATTATTATATGATTCTGGTAAGGGTTTCCTGCTTGAGCAGGGGGTTGGACTAGATGACCTCCAAGGTCCCTTCCAAGTCTGTTTAGTCTACGATTCCGTAAGGGTCTCTTGCTGGAGAGTGGGGTTGGTCTAGATGACCTCTAATGTCCCTTCCAATTCTGTCTTCCTATGATTCTGTAAGGGTCTCCTGCTTGAGAGTGGGGTTGGACTAGATGACCGCCAAGGTCCCTTCCAACTCTGTCATTCTATGATTCTGGTAAGGGTTTCCTGCTTGAGCAGGGGGCTGGGCTAGATGACCTCCAAGGTCCCTTCCAAGTCTGTCCTATGATTCTGTAGGGGGCCCCTGCTGGAGAGTGGGGTTGGTCTAGATGACCTCCAAGATCCCTCCCAATTCTATTATTCTATGACTGTGGTAAGGGTTTCCTGCTTGAGCAGGGGGTTGGACTAGATGACCTCTAATGTCCCTTCCAATTCTGTCTTCCTATGATTCCATAAGGGTTTCCTGCTTGAGGGGTTGGACTAGATGACCTCCGAGGTTGCTTCCACCTCTATTATTCTATGATTCTGGTAAGGGTTTCCTGCTTGAGCAGGGGGCTGGGCTAGATGACCTCCAAAGTCCCTCCCAACTCCATTTTTCTATGATTCTGGTAAGGGTTTCCTGCCTGAGCAGGGGGTTGGACTAGATGACCTCCAGGGTCCCTTCCAACTCTGTCCTGCTTTGATTTCGTAAGGGTCTCCTGCATGAGAGAGGGGTTGGACTAGATGACCTCCAAGGTCGCTTCCACCTCTATTATTCTATGATTCTGGTAAGGGTTTCCTGCCTGAGCAGGGGGTTGGACTAGATGACTTCCAGGGTCCCTTCCACTTCTGTTAATCTATGATTCTATAAGGGTCTCCTATTTGAGCAGGGGGCTGGGCTAGATGACCTCAAGGGTCCCTTGTGTATTGTATGATTCTGGTGTTTCCTGCCTGAGCAGGGTGTTGGACTAGATGACTTCAAGGTGCATTCCAACTCTGTCCTATGATTCCGTAAGCGTCTCTCGCTAGAGAGAGGGGTTGGACTAGATGACCTCCAAGGTCCCTTCCAACTCTGTCCTCCTTTGATTTCGTAAGGGTCTCCTGCTGGAGAGTGGGGTTGGTCTAGACGTCCTCCAAGGCCCCTTCCAACTCTGTTTATTCTATGATTCTGGTAAGGGTTTCCTGCCTGAGCAGGGGGCTGGACTAGATGACCTTCAAGGTCCCTTCCAACTCCGTCCTAGCATTTTGTAAGGGTTTCCTGCCTGAGCAGCAGGTTGGACTAGAATAGATGACCTCCAAGGTCCCTACGAACTCGATTATTGTAGGATTCTGTTAAGGCTCTCCTGCTTGAGCAGAGGTTTGGACTAGATGACCGCCAAGATCCCGTCCACTTCTGTTACTCTATGATTCTGTAAGGGTCTCCTGCTTGAGCAGGGGGCGGGGCTAGATGACCTCCAAGGTCCCTTCCAACTCTGTCCTCCTATGATTCCATTCGGATCACCTGCTTCAGAATGGGGTTGGTCTAGATGACCTCCCTTCCAGCTCTACGATTCTATGATTCTGGTAAGGGCTTCCTACTTGAGCTTGAACTCTCAATTTCCTGGTGATTGGCCCAAAGTCACCCAGTTGGCTTTCGTGCCTAAGGCGGGACTAGAACTCACCGTCTCCTGGTGATTGGCCCAAAGTCACCCAGTTGGCTTTCATGCCTAAGGCGGGACTAGAACTCACTGTCTCCTGGTGATTGGCCCAAAGTCACCCAGTCGGCTTTCATGCCTAAGGCGGGACTAGAACTCACCGTCTCCTGGTGATTGGCCCAAAGTCACCCAGTTGGCTTTCGTGCCTAAGGCGGGACTAGAACTCACCGTCTCCTGGTGATTGGCCCAAAGTCACCCAGTTGGCTTTCATGCCTAAGGCGGGACTAGAACTCACTGTCTCCTGGTGATTGGCCCAAAGTCACCCAGTCGGCTTTCATGCCTAAGGCGGGACTAGAACTCACTGTCTCCTGGTGATTGGCCCAAAGTCACCCAGTCGGCTTTCATGCCTAAGGCGGGACTAGAACTCACTGTCTCCTGGTGATTGGCCCAAGTCATGCCTAAGGCGGGACTAGAACTCACTGTCTCCTGGTGATTGGCCCAAAGTCACCAGTGGCTTTCGTGCCTAAGGCGGGACTAGCGTCTCCTGGTGATTGGCCCAAAGTCCCAGTTGGCTTCGTGCCTAAGGCGGGACTAGAACTCACCGTCTCCTGGTGATTGGCCCAAAGTCACCAGTTGGCTTTCATGCCTAAGGCGGGACTAGAACTCACTGTCTCCTGGTGATTGGCCCAAAGTCACCCAGTCGGCTTTCATGCCTAAGGCGGGACTAGAACTCACCGTCTCCTGGTGATTGGCCCAAAGTCACCCAGTCGGCTTTCGTGCCTAAGGCGGGACTAGAACTCACCGTCTCCTGGTGATTGGCCCAAAGTCACCAGTCGGCTTTCGTGCCTAAGGGGGACTAGAACTCACCGTCTCCTGGTGATTGGCCCAAAGTCACCCAGTTGGCTTTCGTGCCTAAGGCGGGACTAGAACTCACCGTCTCCTGGTGATTGGCCCAAAGTCCCCCAGCTGGCTTTCATGTTTAAGGCGGAACTAGAATTCACCGTCTCCTGGTGATTGGCTCAAAGTCACCCAGTCGGCTTTCGTGCCTGAGGCGGGACTAGAACTCCCCGTCTCCTGGTGATTGGCCCAAAAGTCACCCAGCCAATTTTCATGCCTAAAGTGGGACTAGAACTCACCGTCTCCTGGTGATTGGCCCAAAAGTCACCCAGCCAATTTTCATGCCTAAAGTGGTCAGACAATGCAGAGGCTACTACTTCTTTGAGGAGAGGCCCCCGGTGGTTGTGCTCACCTGCGTAACTGTGGCTAGGCAGGAGGAGGAGAACGAGGAGGAGGAGGAGGAGAAGGACGAGGAGGAGGAGGAGGAGGAGGAGGAGGAGAAGGTGAGAAGGGGGCTTTGACGGGCTGGGACCTTCCGGCGATGAACTTCAAACCTAGAAAGAGGGCTCAACCGTCGGCCGGGGGGAGGAGACCCCCCATCTCAGCTGAGGTCCTACCTTTGCCCCCCCCCCGTTTTAGAGAGGGGGTCCCACTTAGGTGGTATCTCCCGAGCTTCGATTGCCTCCTGGACCAGCAACCAGCCCAGGGTTCAGGCATGCTGGAAACACAATTAAGGAATTTGTGGAAAGAAGACGCCTTTGTAGGCCAGAGGTCTTTCGCTGGGTGGCTTTCCTGCAGATGTTTCAGGGCCCAGCGAGGGTTGGACAGGAGG